GCTAGGTCAGGCGAACCGCGCATCAAGTGGACGTCCAAGGAGGAAGAATGCCTCACCGAAGCATGGAAAGTCGTCTGCCTCGACCCGACCACCGGCGCGAACCAGAGCTTGGAGACGTACTGGGACCGCATCAAGGCCGAGTTCGACGAGCGAAAGCTCGTCGACCCGTACTTCAAAGGCGTCTACATGCAGCGCGGCTCCAAGGCGATGGTGAACCATTGGGGGCGTATCCAGTTGGTGTGCAACAAATGGCATGGAATCGTCGAGGAGGTCGCGACTCGCCCGGAGAGTGGCGCCAGCGTTGAGGATCAGGTATGCACGCCGTTCGCCCGCATCTCTTCGTCGTCTATGCCCGCCAACTGTTTGTTCCTCCGCGCAGCTGCTGCGTATGTTCACCATGTATCGGCGCGACAACCAAGACGCCGACTTCAAACACCTCCACGTCTACAAGCGCATTGACAAGTGCGAGAAGTGGGCGGAAGTCCGACGTGCCCTCGACAAGGCCAAGGAGACCTACAAGCCGGACGCGACGACTCCGGGCGCGTCAGAGGGACGGCCGAATGGCCACAAATTGGCATAGAAGGGGAAAAACGCCGACGCGGCAACCGCGCGAGTGCAGGAGTCCATCGAGCATTGCCTCGCCGACGCCCAGGCCCGGGCCGTCCTACGTGAAGAGAAGACCGAGGCGCGGTGGTCGTCGCTGATGAAGAACAGCGCCATCAAGCTCGACCTGCTCCGGACGAACGTCGCCACGAAGAAGAGGAACACCGACATGGCTTTTTTGATGGGCGGGGCGGACATGCTCCAGAGCGACGACGAGCAGCTCAGGGCGTGGTACATGGTGGAGCGCGGCCTCATGCTGAACCAGATGCAGACGGCAACGCCGACGACGCCGACGACGCAAGCTCCCGCGCCCACGACCACACGGACGCCAAGCCCGAACGACGCCTCTACATCGCCGCCCAACAGTGCCGAAGCCGCGCCGACACAGCCCAACACCGAAGCAGCTCCGACACCGCCGAGCCCGCGCACGCCGACTCCGCCAACGCCTGGAGCTGACCCCGCCGAGTGAATCATTGCGCACGCGAACTTGCGGCGTGCTTGTTTTTTGTAACGCCAGACTACGTCCGATCGCCGGATTTGTGGCGTCTTTTGAGAGCGGGAACGACCAAGTTTAAATTTCCCGCATCCTGGGGCCGGCGCTTGGGGGCGTGACTGGGAGCTAGGTCGCTCCCAGGGGCCGAACTAGCGCCGGCACGCCCCCAGGCCGCTCTATTTAGGCGCCCTGGGGGGCCGAACGGCTGGAGATGCCCTTACAAGCC